TATCTTGTAGGAGTTCCCCAGGCTATGAACATGCTAATGGAGGAGCTTTCCTGAGGAGGTTCTTTTGTAACAATCAGGAAACAATCCATATACAAAAGAACCTCCTCAGGAAAGCTCCTCCATTAGCATGTTCATAGCCTGGGGAACTCCTACAAGATATGAGTTTGTTTATGATATTCATAAAAATTTTAAAAATATTACAAAGAAAAGAAACTGCAATAATGACCAGGCATGAAAGATTGCACACTGTGACTTGTCATATTTTCCTTGCAGAAGTTAATGTATCGCTTAATGGTAAGTAAAAACACATGAAAGGCACTGCAAGCAAGGTTAAGTTTTTGTAGTCTAGCGTGCTGAAGCTGAATGCAATTTTCTTAACTTACCAAATTTAACATTCTTTTTTGTCCTGTATACTTGTAAGAGTTTGGAGAGAACAGAACAAAGGGAAGAAGGTAGAAAGAGAATAGATGTCAGAAGGACAAGAAAACCTTTGTTTCTATAGCGGTTAGTACCTGCTTAGAGATTACATTACCTTTCACAGGAAGAGTCACAGTTAAAGTTTTATATGGCAATTATGCAGAGGGACAGAGAAAGAATGTATTTTATTACACATAATCTATTCATCAAAATTCGAGTCCAGTAGGAAAATTTCCAGGGTATAAACTCACCATGGAAAACTTTGTCAGTCTTTAAGGTGCCACTGGACTTTAATTTTATTCTACTGCTGCAGACTAATACGGTAGGGCTGCCAAGTCCCCCCGGGGGGGCAGAGAAATCCCCGCCCGGGAGGCCCGTTCCCCGGTGGCGCCGGATCGGGCCCCAGGGGGAACCCCGCCCCCAAAGCAAGTCACATGGAAGTGACGTAAGCACGTCGGGGACGTTGGGGGCGGGGCCACAATCATCCGAGGGAAAACTCTATGGTTTTCTCTTGGATGATTGTGGCCCCGCCCTCAACGTCCCCGACATGCTTACATCACTTCCGTGTGATGTGCCTGCGGCGAGCGCGCGCAAAGACTCCCAGACCGAGCCTGGACTCCCCCACTCCGGGACAGGTAAGGACTTGGCAACCCTATAATACGGCTACCCACCATAACATAATCTACTAAGAAACCCACATGAACTTTCTACTTGATAGGTATTCTAATGCAGGATTTTCCTACTCATATCTGCTGTCTGAAATATATATATTTAATCGCAAATTACTCTCAAGAGCTACTGACAAACAGGCTTTCAAAGAAAAAGGGATCTGAACTGTAAGATATTAGTGTGAAAAGCAGGTGTGGTGTGGGTTATCCGAGCAAGCATTCTGGATTTTAAGAGGATGTTGAAGAAAATCATTGAAGATGTGTCAAAAAACCATTCTACGCATGGAGGCTACAGAAAAGGTCATGAAGAGCAGAATTGTATCAGACAAGCGTTTGTCTTACTTCAGTCAAACAATATGGGAGGATGCCTGTATCATTCTTATCAAAAGCATTTTTTTCTGTTAAGTAATGTAAACTGAAGTATTCATAAAACAAGCGTATTCCCTTGAATTACAGGAAGGTATTTCACAACGAATGAATTTCAGTCAAAACATAGCAGTGCACAGTCACCATATATTTTGTTAAAGGGAAGTCAAAAGAATAGGACTGTTGGGAGACTGAAAATTGTAACAGTGGATTTCCAAGTACAAATAACAAGGTGAACACCAGGCTTGAATGGATTTTTTTGAAACAGTTAAAGCTTTAAAGTTTACACCTGCAATCTATATGATTTAAAATGCAACCACATACATGCATAGATATTTCAACAGATAATTTCTGCTCATGCGGACAGCATGTCATTGCCAATAACAGGATAGAGCTGTGAAAATCGGATAACAGATCACAACTTTAAATCAGGATGTCTTTCTTTATATAAATTGTTTGGCCATGCACAGCACACACAAATCACCTACTTCTAATAAAATGCATTAACAATTCCCCAATATAAAATCATTGGCTAGATATAGAGCTATTGCCTTCATGGAAAAAAAAAATCATAATGAACCAACAACATGAACACTTTTTTTCCATCTAATTCAGACAGCTATACTGGTTCTTTCCTGCCAACCTAGCAGTTCGAAAGCAAGAAATTGCAAGTAGATAAATAGGTACCACTTCGGTGGGAAGGTAACAGCGTTCCGTGTGCCTTGGTGTTTAGTCATGCCGGCCACATGACCACGGAAACGTCTTCGGACAGCACTGGCTCTTCGGCTTTGAAACGGAGATGAGCACCGCAACCCTAGAGTCGGATTCGACTGGCTTTCGAGCAAGGGAACCTTTACCTTTACCTTTATACTGGTTCTTATTCTTACCGTTTGGTACGTGTGAGGTTACTTTAGTAGTATAATGTTAAAAAGTGCATTAAACAATACTGACCATATGCAGTTTTGTTATTAAGACTTTGGCGCTGTCACCTGCTGTGCCATGTTTTAAATATGTATTAGGAAGCGGCAGAATGACTGTGAGGCCTATTGCTATGACACAACCAGAAGCTATGGTAGATCAGTAGAAGAGAAGAAGAAGAGAAGAGATTGGATTTATATCTCGCCCTTCACTACCCGAAGGAGTCTCAGAGCGGCTTACAAGCTCCTTTCCCTCCCCCTCCCCACAACAGACAGCCTGTGAGGTAGAAGAAGAAGAAGAGATTGGATTTATCCCCCGCCCTTCACTACCCAAAGGAGTCTCCGAGCGGCTTACAAACTCCTTTCCCTTCCCCTCCCCACAACAGACAGCCTGTGAGGTAGAAGAAGAAGAAGAGATTGGATTTATCCCCCGCCCTTCACTACCCAAAGGAGTCTCCGAGCGGCTTACAAACTCCTTTCCCTTCCCCTCCCCACAACACACACCCTGTGAGGTAGGTGGGGCTGAGAGAGCTCTTGACAGAAACTGCTCTTTTTCAAGGACAGCTCTTATCAGAACTATGGCTTGCCCAAGGTCATCCAGCCAGTGCAAGTGGAGGAGTGAGGAATCAAACCCGGTTCTCCCAGATTAGAGTCTGCGCACTTAACCATACACCAAACAGTACCACTATGCTATTAACAGACACAGCTTGCTACTGTGTTACATCCATAGGAAATGAAAGTATTAGACAGCAAAGACATCGGCAGAAGTAAGATGTAGTGGGGTTGGGGCAAGGGACTGGGAGACAGGTGAAAGGCATTTCATCTCCTATAGAGCAATTTGCATTGGCATGGAACTACAGAATCAGCTTCTACAGGGTTGAAACTGATGGGCACAAAGTAGAACATCTCTTGCAAACTTCCCTGGGCAGCTACGGATGACTTGTGTTATCATTCTGTCAGGTAGTACAGGTGCACGGGTCTCAGATGCCAACCAAGCTGTTCTATCTAGTATAATTTACTTAAACAGAGCCCTGATCTGGATAGCCCAGGCTAGCCCAATCCCGTCAGATCTCGGAAGCTAAGCAGGGTTGGCCTTGGCTAGTATTTGGAAGGCTGACCTCCAAGGAATATGAGAGAAGAAGAAGAGGAGATTGGATTTATACCCCGTCCTTCACTTAAGAGTCTCAGAGCAGTTTACAAACTCCTTTCCCTTCCCCTCCCCACAACAGACACCCCGTGAGGTAGGTGGGGCTGAGAGAGCTCTTGACAGAAACTGCTCTTTTTCAAGAGCAGCTCTGACAGAACTAAGGTTTGCCCAAGGTCATCCAGCAGCTGCAAGTGGAGGAGTGGGGAATCAAACCCAGTTCTCCCAGATTAGTCTGTGCACTTAACCACTACACCAAACTGGCTACGCCAAACTGACCCACCAAACTGAGGGTCATGACACAGAGGCAGGCAATGGCAAACCACCTCTGAAATGTCTCTTGCCTTAAAAACAAGACCAGCTCACCAAGTAGTGGTGTACAGGGCTTTTTTGGTAGAAAAAGCCCAGCAGGAACTCATTAGCATAATAGGCCACACCCAACAGCAGAAACATATTAGCATATTAGGCCACACCCCCAAAAGAGCAGCTCATTAGCCCTTTAGGCCGCACCCCCATGTTACCAGAAGTGTGGTCATCCAGCCACACCCACCTTTTGCTTCTTATTCTGTTTACCTTGTTTGTTGTCAAAACCCAGGGCTTTTTTTGTAGCAGGAACCCTTTGCACGTTAGGCCACACACCCCTAATGTAGCCAATCCTAATGAGTGTCTGCTGTTGGGTGTGGCCTATTATGCTAATGAGTTCCTGATGGGCGTGGCCAACTCGGGAGCCAGACGGAACTCCGTTCCTGTGCGTTCCTGCCCAAAAATAGCCCTGGTGGTGTATAACACTAAAAAAGAGCTAGAAATTCTGACTGCCAGGCAATCTTAGGCTCTCCTGGCTATTCTACACACAATGCCATACGATAATTAATTGATTAATTAATTAAACGACAGAGTTCCTTGCTTGTCTGCCTGTTCTAACTGAAATTCTTACCAGAATTTTCATATGCATCCAGGTGAAAATTTTCAGAGTTCCTGTCCTCTGTCACATGGTCATATGTGATTTGTGGGATAGGTAGCATTCTGTCAGGAGAATTTAGTCCATTCTCTTTTTCTGACTTAACCTTCTTCTTTTTCACCTAGTAGGAGCAAGAATCCAAATCATAATCTTCAGAACAAAAACAAAATGCAAGCAACCCCTGATATATTAACAATGAGTCAACCGAATTAAAAATTCAAGAGGACAGCAATTAAAGGGAAGAGAAAATAAGAGGGGGATATGGGAACAAAGACTTTTATTTAGAGAGGAAAATAATTGTCCTTAAATTTCTTTGGAACAGTACGATAGGCTTTCTGATTTGGAGTAAATAGTCCTGACAGTTTATGAACCACTGTTTATTGCCACTGACATTGTATAGCGGAAAGTGCCAGTCAAGTCGCAGCTGATTTATGGTGACCCCTGGTGGGGTTTCCAAGGCAAGAGATCTTCAGAGGTGGTTTGCCATCGCCTGGCCTCTGTGTAGCAACAGTGGATTTCCTTGGTGGCAATGTTCCCTCTAAGCTATGGAGTCTTGTGAGCAACAATTCTACTTTGTGAGCTACTGGCATTAAAGTTGTGAGCCAGAGATCCGGCTACTGCATAAATTAGTTTGCTTTGGAGCCCTCCTTCCTGAGCTAAGACAGAAATGTGTGAGCCGGAGGCTAAAAAACTGTGAGCTAGCTCACACTAACTCAGCTTAGAGGGAACACTGCTTGGTGGTCTCCCATCCAAGTAATAACCAGGGCCAACCCTGCTTAGCTTCCAAGATCTGATGAGATCGGGTTAGCTTGGACCAGAGGTCATTTCGGGGGGGAATGTGGGGGAACGCAGTTCCCCCAGGTGAGGTGCAGGGGGCGGGGCACATGACGAAGCCCCGCCCCCTGCTTCCGGCCGCCCCGCTTCCAGCCCTCATTCAGCCAGGAGGAGGCAGGAGAAGAGGGAGGGTAAGTTGCTTCCTCCCCGCCTCTCCCCACCCCTGCCTGCCTGGGGCCAGGGAGGGCCTTGGCGGGGCTTCCTCGCACTCCTGCTGGCCTTGCAGGTCCACCGCCTGGCCCCTAATGTCAGGGGGTGTGGCATATGCTAATGAGTTATGCTAATGAGTTCCCCTAGCTCTTTTTCTATGAAATGACCCCTGGCTTGGACCATTCAAGTCAGGGTACCACTGACTTTAGTGGTATCTATATGAGCTGAGGATCTGGTTGACTAGCCCAGCCTCTCTGCTAGGTTACCCCATGGTGGTATATGTTATTCTTTGAAAGTGTGATAAATAAAAATAATTTCACTTGCTACATTTGCACATGCAGTACAATTATTTTACGAGACAATTCATGAGTACTGAAATAACTGGACTCCACAGCTGATTAATCCCAGCACAGGGGAAAAGTTGCACTCCCACAGAGACAGGCAATATCCAGTTTCACAGTGAGAGGTCAGCATCTTATTTCAGGGGGTTATTTAACCCACAGGCAAGGACTTGCTCCTGAAGGTGGGATATCACAACAGTTTATTCTCCAAGATCACCATTTCACAGCTGAACTGAGGATGAGGGTACTGCTGGCAGGGGCGGTTTGTACTGTTAATTTGTTGAACTGATTTTAGGGGTTTTTAAAGGCCACATATGCAGGTGAGGGAGAGAGAGAGAGAGAGAGAGAGAGAGAGAGAGAGAGAGAGAGAGAGAGAGAGAGAGAGAGAATTTATATCAGTCCAGAGAACCCTGATATTCCTTCAAAAGAAAGGAGCAATTTCACATCATTACCACATCCGAATTAGGATACTGGCCTATATTTTATTTTAGAAGCTGCTACTGCATGATATTGCCATACCAGACATGCCTACAGTTGTATAAATATTATCAAATGTTCGTGGTATTTTACACCCCTTTAGTTATGCTTTGTCTTCTTGCCAAAACTAGATAAAGTTATTTTATTTTATTTACTTCTCTCATGAATAGCCTTGCTTTTGTCACTGAGACTCGAGTCAGATTACAAAATTTATAAGTATTTATATGTAGTTCAACCAAAGGGCCTCAGATAAGATTGATATGAGTGCAGATTGGTTTATATATGTTTTGTGCATGAACCCTAGAGATTATAAACTGTTTTAACTGAATTGTGCTGGCTATGCACCGAATAAAAACTGACTGGGTGACTGAAATATAAAAACAATTAATTAATTAACAATTACGGGTGATTACTGCAAAGCTTTTTAAAAACAACAACCACCCTGAATTACACCAAATGTAATGATAATTTTTAAAATCGCAAATCCTTGATACTAAAATTCAATTTAAAACTGCAAGTCTGCATAAAATCAAATTGCTCATCTGTAACCGTTCTTTAAAAGTGGTCCAGGCTGTGTTACAAAATATAAGCAGCTGGTTCCACTAAAAAACTGTTTGAGAAATTCTACCATACATTCCCAATAATTGTGGCAATCCTAATGATTTTCCTGTTCTTTTTAATGGCTTGGATGCTCCCAGATTTGTTTTCATAGAAGTAAAACACTCATTCCATGACCATTGTTCCCTCTAAGCTGAATTAGTGTGAGCTAGCTCACCATTTGTTACCCTCTGGCTCACACATTTTTGTCTTAGCTCAGGAAGGAGGGCTCCGGAGCAAACTAATTTATGCAGCAGCTAAATCGCTCGCTCACAACTTTAATGGCCATAGCTCACAAAGTAGAATTTTTGCTCACAAGACTCCGCAGTTTACAGGGAGCATTGTCCATGACCATCAAGCAATTAAATTTGTTCACAAGGACTACTGCTCAATCACTTCCATGCAGGGTTTTTTTTGTAGAAAAAGACCAGCAGGAACTCGTTAGCATAATAGGTCACACCCAACAGCAGAAACGTATTAGCATATTAGGCCACACCCCTAACAGCACAGCTCATTAACTTATTAGGCCGCGCCCCCATGTGACCAGAAGTGTGGACATCCTTTTGCTTCTTATTCTGTTTACCTTGTTTGTTGTCAAAACCCAGGGCTTTTTTTGTAGCAGGAACCAATGTTCCCTCCAAGCTGTGGAGACTTGTGAGCAAAAATTCTACTTTGTGAGCTACTGGCATTAAAGTTCTGAGCGGGCTACTGCATTAAGTCAGTGTGCTCTGGAGCCCTCCTTCCTGAGCTGAGAAAAAAAATCTGTGAGCCAGAGGCTAAAAAACTGTGAGCTAGCTCACACTAACTCAGCTTAGAGGGAACACTGGCAGGAACTCCTTTGCATATTAGGCCACACACCCCTAATGTAGCCAATCCTAATGAGTTTCTGCTGTTGGGTGTGGCCTATTATACTAACAAGTTCCTGCTGGGCGTGGCCAACTCGGGAGCCAGCCGGAACTCCATTCCTGTGCGTTCCTGCCCAAAAATAGCCCTGCTTCCATGAGCCCTGATATACAGTCATACCACTTCAAGGTCACTCCATATTTTTCCTTCTTCATAGCTTAGCTAACTGATTGATGCTGTACTCCATGCAAACAAACGAACAAAAAATACTATGCAGCATAGCTTCCATCCTCCAATGCTGTTGGTAACTGAAAGAGACATAAGCAGGGAGACACTTCGTTCTCCTTTGGGATTTTCACCTTCCGCATGGTAATGATAGGACAAGAACTGCAGGAAAAGAACCACATCGCTTGACACTGCTTGCTACAATTTCCTGTCAGATGGCCAGCTCAACCAGTCACTCAATACAAGACCAGCAAACCACATATACATGACCGTTTGTGACACTATTGGAATAATATCTTTTAATGCAAATATTTTTAATGTGCTCTGCTGAGGATATGGGAAACTGCTATATCCCCCCACCCTGTCCCAGCAAGGTTATTCTCTGTAGAGAAAGTAGTCTGGCCTAGCACTAAACACTACTGTATTCAATGTAATGTGTCCAAGGAAAAATGGAAATGTAGATCCTTACCGATACAATCCCTATTTTCTTTGGTTTAGGACTAGGGGACATCAAGTGATAATTTCTGGAAGGTTTCCTTATGTATATTTTCCACGTAGACGAGTCTGGGTTTTCTGATGCATAGCATCTCCAGGCAGTCTAAAATATTTATTGGAAGTTCACAAAAGATTAATTAAGTGGGTTTCTGAAAATAATTATACATCAGTAGAAAGCAAGCCAAGACTATATACAGTACATACTGCAGAACAACACACTTCTGTATTTCGCTGTCACAGTGTATCCAGTTTCAAGTGGTACTGAATTTTACAAAATTCTACCATCTGATGTCCCCACAAGGCCCGCTTCCCCTGATATTCCAGGACAAATTCCAATCCAGTTGGATCAAGGCAGTTCACTATCATATTCATAGAATTGGCTTCTCACCTCAGCTACTTTTATCCTATGGATTTGAACAAGCCAAAGGGCTAATTAAACAAAGAGTTAAAGATATTGAGTGACAATCTGACATCTCTAAGGCTTCCAGAGTTGGGGTGTTGTTAAATATCAAAAGCACCATTGAGCCAACAACTTCAGTGGAGGGAAAGAATTCTAGAAGGGCATTTGCACTAGCTAGATGTTCTGCCCTTTCATCTGCAGTTATTCAAGGCAGGTACAATAAAGCCCCCTACTCTGAAAGGCTGTGCCTATGCCCCTTAAGCGAGGTCGAATCAGTAGAGCACATGTTCTTCAGTTGCCCATTTTACAGGGAGGCTCGTTTTAAAATTATTACCCCATTAGCTGATACGACACCTGGTCCACATTAATACAAACAAAGCAAGGCTTCACTGGCTCCTATCGGACAAGAATACAGAAATTACACGGTCAGTTGCTGAGTTCTCTGCATTAATTCTAAGATTGTGGGAATCACATTTTAAAAGTTTTTACATTCAGATTTCTATTTTTTGTATTTTGTATATTATGACTGTTTTATGCTTACTCTTTACGTTGGTCTCAAGACCACAATAATAAACTAACTAACTAACTAACTAACTACCATCTGATGTATGAGTATTTGAAAATAAATTGGTTGGTTCCAACGCACCACCAATGGTGTTAGGAGAAGTGGATCTTCCCCATCTTTTCTCATTCCAGCAAGTTCTCTTAGTGCTGTACAGCCAGAACCAGTGTTGGAGAACCCATGTGGGCAAACACCACACACACACACACACACACACAAAAGGACCCCCCAGGAGGAGCAGAGTAAAATTACCCCTTGCTGCCTCTTATGCCAACAGAGTCTCTTGAGCCACTGACAAAAAGAACAGGAGGAGGTATTTTCCCGGCTTCCCCTCCACACTGCAGTTGCTCCGGTTCATTCATTCATTCACTTACTTATATCATGTTGTTCTCACCACTTTGATCTCCTTTTTTATCCTACAAAATCGGTATTGATTGCCATGAGTCCCTCTCAGCGCACTAAGTTCAGGAAAAGAAGGGAAGCAGCAAGAAAGCCTGCCGCAGAGTTTGGGCAGGGGACTCTAGGCCAAACCCTGCTCCTGATGCCTTCAGCCAAAATGTCAGAGGGACTCAGTTCAGAAAGATTAAAACTCCATTCTGAATTGGATGCGGGTTGGTCTATCTATATATCTAATAGCCAAGGCGCCCCCCGCGTGCGGATATCTAAATCCGCACATCGGGGGCACCTGGGGGGCAGGGAGATTTTCCTGCACATTTAGGGCAATCCCCAGATGTGCAGAAAAATCTAAAAACTGTAAAAAAAACCCTATAGGGGGTTACTTAAATGCCCCCAAAAGTAAAGGAGCGTTCCCTGCACATACGCAGGGAATGCTCCGAGAAGGCTTCGCCACCGCCACAGGGGATGAGGGGCGGGAGAAGGCTTGGCGGGCCAGCCTCACCGCCGCTGGAGAGGGAGGGGTGAAGGAGAAAGCTTGGCGGGCTGGCCTTGTTGCCGCCACTGCGGGGGAAGGGGGAGGGAGAAGGCTGGGCTCACCTGCTGCCACGTCTCCAGTTTCTGCAGGCCAGGAGCTGTGGGGGAATACTCCCCCCGTGAGTATCGCAGGTCCCGCCTCTAGTCTACTACTATTTCCAAGCATAAAAGCCTCAAGCCAATTGCTTGATACATAAAAATGCAGTAGAAGAGAACACCATTTCAGCTATATAAGCATGGTATGCACAGTACTACATCAGCTAAGCTCCTCACTGATTGCGAATGCCAAACCCTCAAAAAACTGCACAAGGAAATATTGAAGTGGTATGGGCTCCCAATCAACCTCTGTGCATCTTCCACAGCATCTTCTGGACCCATAACAAATGTAAGCAGAATACCATTTTTACCAAAGGGAGGGAGAAAACTGAAAGAGACTCAGATCAAACTGTGTTCAGGAAACATAACTTCTAACAACATGTAGCATTTCGTCACCAAGCACCTGAATGAGAGAAGCAGCTGCTGGAATTTGTCGGTTGAAGTGCTTCTGTCTTTGTTTCTGTTGTACCTTCAGAGCAAATCCAGAACCAAGAATTCCCTGATGGATACAGTAATTTTAAAAGTTTTTTTAAAAATCCACCAATCATGTTGCAGAAATAGTTTTTAAGATTAGGTATCTGCTGAAATGGAATCTGGAGCATAAACTGAGGTTTTGCTAAACTGAAGACCTACATTGTCATGTCTTACAGTCTTGCTGGTCACAAATCCTATATCTCATTGTTCATATTATATAGAAATTAAACATTTTCATATATTTGCCTTTTACGTGTAATTACTCTGTGTAATTGATGGAGCGGTGCCAAAAGTACACAGAGTGGATCTCTCCCCCTTCTCCTTAAAGCCCTCTTCATCCCTCACCCCACCCAAAACATATCACAGGACCTTCAGGAACAGAGCGGGATACTGCATAGGGGAATGGAGCATGACAGGATGCCATCAAAAACCGCCCTTCTACTTTGGCATTCATTTTCTGCATGGAACCAGCAAGAGCTTGGGCGACAGTTTGGTAATGAGTTCTGCTGATCCCCTACCCTCCCTGTCTTGCTACTGTCCCCTCACCACATCCCCTCTGCTCCTAAAGGTCCTCTGACTCCGAGGGACAGCTTCTGTGGGATCATGGAGGGCTGCAGGAAGAGAGATCTGTTCCGTCTGCTCACTGAGCCGCAGCAATACAAACAGCCGTATTCAACAACTACTACTGTAAAATTAAAGCCCCACGTAAGCCCTTTTAAGAAGGAAGCATGCCATAAAATTAACACGGAAAATTAATCTGCAGCCGCTTCTGTGCATTCAGAAGACAAAGAAATAAGCACGGCCAGGGCCTACTCAGTGGCGGCTCCTACATGGTGGAATGAGCTCCTGGAGGAGATCAGGGCCCTACGGGACCTTGTACAGTTCCGCAGGGCCTGCAAGACGGAGCTCTTCCGCCAGGCTTTCGATTAGGAGCCGCCACTGCCACCATAACCAACGAACCCGGTTGATAACTGGGAACAGAGTGGCCCTAGGACGATTGCATCTCAGTGGCGCGGTAGATCGGTACCGTTGTACGGGGATGGAGGCAACATCTACTGGACACCATCTTATCTTAATTTAAGAACAACGCTACTGAGCACTTTATGTAATTTTGATACTTATTCAGTTTTATCTTGTTTTACTTGGTTTCATGTATTGGCACATGGTGCCCTTACTTCTTAGCCGCCCTTAGCCCATTCGTGGGGAGAGCGGGGTAGACATTTAAATAAACAAATAAATAAATACTACTCAGCGGAGAATAATGCTAAGCACATACCGCAGGCAGGGCAAAAAATGAAATGGCAAATACAGAGAAGCAAGATGCAATGGTTTTTCCTATCCACGTCTTGGGCACAATGTCTCCATATCCAATGGTTGTAACAGTCACCTGAAATTAAGAAAACAACATCAGAAAACAGACATATAGCTTGGTTGCTATATGGATCAGAGGTCTGGGGCTGGGGAGATCAGATAGCGTCCTCATTAGAAATAGTACAGAGTTATTTTATGAGGCGGATTCTCGCCAAGTAGAAGGAGTATTGGAGTATACTGATATATTTTTTTATAGTTTACATTACCATTTTATAGTCCGATGTATTATGTTATGGCCTATGGCTAAGACAATGAACTTATACATGACTTGACTGGTGTCTTTTGAGATGATAGTGTGTGATGTAAAACATTCTTTTTGTGTCCACTCCCGCACAGAGTTAGATGCAAAGGACTTTTGTCAGATCCTTTGCAAGGTGAGTTCCACTAGAAGGTTAAGATGAGAGAGTGAGAGCGACTGACCCAAGATTACCAGTGATCTTCATGGCTTAGTGGGGATTTGCATCCAGGTCTCCCCAATCCAAATGTAAGCAAATGAGTCTAAATAAATTTACTTATTTTATTTAAAACATTGCTAAGCTACCTTTCCAGGGTCCCCAAGGCAGCAAACATTAAAACATTCCAAACATGGAAAGGCATTTAATATGAAATATTTAATAAAATTAAAGAAAACATAAACACGTGAAAACACACAAGCAGGGCTCTTTTTGGGCAGGAACGCACAGGAACGGAGTTCCGGCTGGCTCCCGAGTTGGCCACACCCAGCAGGAGCTCATTAGCATAATAGGCCACACCCAATAGCAGAAACTCATTAGGATTGGCTACATTAGAGGTGTGTGGCCTAACATGCAAAGGAGCTCCTGCTACAAAAAAAGCCCTGGGTTTGCACAACAAGCAAGGTAAACAGAAAAAGAAGGAAATGGTGGGCGTGGCTGGATGACCACACTTCTGGTAACATGGGGGTGTGGCCTAATGCGCTAATGAGCGGTGCTGTCAGGGTGTGGCCTAATATGCTAATGGGTTTTGCTGTTGGGTGTGGCCTATTATGCTAACGAGTTCCTGCTGGGCTTTTTCTACAAAAAAGAGCCCTGCACACAGGCATGGAGGAAAGTTAATCAGAGTTGGCAAGGGAACGCTCAACAAATCAATGAAGTCTTCTCATCCACTGGAGAGGGAGACAGACAAATCTCCCCGGGGAGAGAATACTAAACATTCGGCCTCACAACTGAGAAGGACCTTTCTCTAGTCGCCACAGGTCTAGCCTCAAATGGTGGGGGCCCCCAAAGCAGTGCCTCCAAAGATAACTGGAGTAGCCAGGTAAGTTCATACGGGAGTCGGCAGTCATTCAGGTATAGTGGCCCCAAGCCATATCGGCAGGGGTCATTTCATAGAAAAAGAGATGCAGAAGCTCATTAGCATAACTCATTAGCATAACTTATTTGCATATCGGGCTTTAAAGGACAATCATGAATTGTGCCTATAGCAAATCAGGAGCCCCTGTAGGTGGAACAAGACCAGTGATATGATCCCTACAGCCTACTCCAGTCAGCATTTCTGGATGCACCATTCTGTACTGTCCAGACACGCTTCAAGGGCAACCACGTGTAGAGCGCAGTGCAATAATCTAATCCAGATATTACCAGCACATTCAACACAGTAGCAAGATCTTTCCTGTCCAGGAACGGCCACAACTGGCTCACTAGCTGAAGCTGGTGAAAGGCACCCATGACGACTGCTGCTACTTGTCTATCCAGCAGCACCCCTAAGCTACAAACCTGCTCCTTTAGAGAGAGTACAGCCCCATCCAAAACAGGAGGTAATCCCAGTTCCTGGGTCAGACCTTCCCACCACCAGTAGAACCTTCATTTTGTCAGGATTATGTTTTGGCTTGCTAGCCTTCATCTACCCCAAAACTGCCTCCAGGCACCTGTTCACAGTTTCTACAGCCTCCCTGGTTTCTTCTGGAAGTGCAAGATAGAGCTGAGTGTCACCTACATATTGGTGGACAACCTCTCCCACTGGCTTCAAGTAAACGTTAAAAAACATGAGGGACAAGATGGAACCTTGTGGGACCCCAGAGCCAGAGGCCAAGGAATAGTTCTCCAGCACCATACTCTGAAACCTGCCTTCAAAGCAGGCTCAACCCATTGCAAAATGGTGCCCTCCACCTTCCAACCCCCAAAAGGTGATCCAGAAGGATACAAAGATCAATGGTATCGAAAGCCATTAAGAAGGCCAGGAGAATTAACAGGGCCATAACCCCTCATCCATCTCCTGCACAGGCCAAGGCCATGTCAGCTCCTAACCAGTCCTGAAACCAGATTGGAATCCAAACAATGCAAATCATCCAGGAATCCCTGAAGTTGTTCAGCCACCACTCGTTCAATCAATCAATCAATCAATCAATCAATAAACCGGCTTGCTGAAGAATAGTACATTTGAGACTGGGTGGTTATTCAACTGTTCTGGGTCCAGAGTAGGTTTCTTTAAGACGGAACACATCACTGCCCACTTCAAGTCAAGGGTGACACCCCCCCCCCATCAAGTGGGCACCATCATCTGGACCCAGTCTAACAGCCCCCCCCCCAGCCAGGAGGGGCAAGGGTCATTCAAACAGGCAGTAGATCTTGTACTTCCAAGAACCCTGTCCACACCCACAGACTAAGGGTGATTCTGCATTGGCTTTTCTCTCCATTGTTTTAGCAAACCCATGTTGGAACAGAAATTCCCGTCTGCATTGCGTGCTGCTTTCACTTCCTTTGATCATTGGATTTTATGGTACCCTCTGCATTGTATGCTGCTTTCACTTCCTTTGATCATCAGTTTTATGGTACCTTCTACATAGATTTATGGCCATTTTATGGCTGTTCAGGGGTGACTTTGCCATCAGTGTGGCATTGGCCCAGGGTATTTGACTGTAGTTTTGAGCTGCACCTTTTCCTCAGTGTTGAGAAAATGGGGAGCGAATGCCAGATGCAGAACCAGCCTGAACAAACTGAAGGTTAACCCACACAACTGGGCACGGTGGCTTCTTGGAACCATTATTATGCTGTTGCTTCAAAATAATTTGCATATATGTATGAACATGTGGAATAAGTCCCTGACCTATTCTTAAAGTGCACTGCATGGAAGATGCTTACCATGTTCTATTTATATTTAGGCTTTAGTTCATGAGAAAGAGGAGAGGAAATTGAATTATAACCTAGTTCATGTTAACATGCTGTAAATTCAAAGCATTAATTTAGGCCTTCATGACCAGGAAAACTGTTCGGGACATGAGCTTCCAGGATCTGTGGGCAGTCTGCCCAAATCCCACTCTTCTCTTTAGGGAAAACGTTACCAGCTGAATTCTAAATGAACACTGTATCACTGCTGGTTTTATTTACATCAAGACAATATTTGCTAAGTCTAATGCATGTCACAGAGCATCTGAAAAATGCTACTGGGATCAATTGTAGGATATTATAAAATATTGCAATGACACAAGATGGCAAAGACAGAGAGACAGAGCTCAAGCCAGTAATGGATCCCTTAATTAGTCACTGATTCACATCATAATTCAATAGGGATGTCGACAAACTAATGTGAAACGAAAAGGAAGCATCTGGGAATTGGGCTTTTGAGGTATCGAGAAGTCATTCCTCCTGCAAGCTGAAGCTTATCTGAGTTATTATAAGTCATGACTCATGGGATGACAGGCTCTCTCCAAGGTTTTACAGAAATGGATTCCAGCAGCAAAAGTGGAATAGATGAGAATGAAATATTCCGAAGTGGTAACATTTTCAGCAAATACAGAGTTCAGTAATTTGCTGTTCTCCTGGGTAATCGATTACCCATATATTAAGACAAATGTAACATTTTAACACACTGCAGTTCCTTCAAGTACATGATGGCCCCAATTTTACAACTTGTCTTCGGTCCAAATTAGATGTTCTATCCTGAGGGACAACAGTATAGGGAGGAGGGAGGAAGCCCATCCTCTGCCTGCACTACAGTCCTGTGACAAACTGGGCCCCAGCACGCCTGGGATCTTCATTTCTCTGGTGCTATATCTGGCTGTGCAAAGATCAGAATTGCATTGGGGGTCATGCCAGACATAACATCGAGTTCAGACCTTACATGCAAGCATACCAGGAAGTTAATTTGTCTTGCCTCCCCCATCTACACCTCCTTCAAGCTGGCTATGTTAAACAAAAATTTTGAAGTGACATTTATGCGTTATATATACACTAGGAGTAAGGCCTGTTGTGGGAAGAAATACAACGAGCTCTGGAAGGAAGCTCCAGGTAAGTGTCCTGACTGTGGCTGGGGGGGGGGCGGCAGAGGGAAGGGGGAAATAGAGGGAGGCAAGCCATGTTTATTTCCTCCTGCTTAGCTATAAGGCAGGGCTGCCTCAAGACATTTTGCTGCCCCAAGTGGGTAGTATGGGAGGACAGTTTCATGGTAGCAGGTATGGTTCCCTCCACCCCTGACTTATGTTGATTTGGGGTTATGCAGTGGCAACTAAGGTAGAAAAGCACCTCCTCCTATGCCATGTCTTCTGGGTTCCAAGGGTCTGGAAAGCAGTTCCATAGCCAGTTACAGGGTTGCCAACTCTGGGTTGGGAAATACCTGTAGATTTGAGGGGTAGAGCCTGGGGAGGGCAGGGTTTGGTGTGCAGAGGGACCTCAGCCGGGTATAATGCCATAGAGTCCATTACCCAAAGCAGCTATTTTCTCCAGGAGAACTGATCTTGGAGATCTCCAGGTGCTGCCTGGAGGCTTGCAATACTAAGGGGAGGGCCAGACCTGTAGATTTGAGGGGTAGAGCCTGGGGAGGGCAGGGTTTGGGGTGCAGAGGGACCTCAGCAGGGTATAATTCCATAGAGTCCACTGCCCAAAGCAGCCATTTATACCTCAAGACACATTCAATGACTCACAACAACAAACTGTTCAGAATGTTAGAGGCAAAGGCCTATCAGGCCGCATATGCAAATGACCTCTGTGTTCTGACTGGCTATTGGGGGGAGAGGAACAGCAAACTATTTAGAATATTGGAGGCGAGACTCAGGCAATGCAC